AGAGAGTGAATCGATAGACACAATGGTGTGGGTGAGATTCACTTTCCTAAACTTAGAAGTCTACTAACATTTGAAACACCTCAAGATATGTGAGATATCCATGTAGGGCTGCCAATTTTTATACATGAGCTAAGTGAGAGCCATACCTTCCTGCAGTGCCAGTTGGAAAGCAAACAAGATTCCATACAGAATCTCATATGGACACGAGATGTCTAGATATGGTCATCTGGATACTCCTGTAAGTTTCCTCTTTAGGAAGAACTGAATTGCTGTCTCCATTCCAATGACATGTGTTGACTGGCTGTGCATTTATTGCAGTGAAAGCTGGGATATCTAGAACATGCATTGACACCAAGCTTAAATTTTGATCCACAAGCTAAATTTTACCTCATTGTATCGTGGCTACTATTTAGATGTGTCATCATGGCATGTCGATGGCATTAGGAAATTAGCATCATGACACCTTCCTCTCTCACCAAACTCATGCGTTTCCTTTCTCTTTTATTTAAGCCAGGAGATACACAAGTTAGGGAGTGGAGGGAGTGGGGTACAATAGTTAGGGAAAACAAGTGCAAAATAAATGAGACTGCATGGAAACAAAATATGCCCACAGTGAATAGATAACCTGTGGATTTCACTACAACAATGTAGTTTAATATTAAATTGTTATTAAATTATTGTAGGTTGCTTCTCTATTATGAGGAAGAAGATGACTGAGTCAGTAGACGACAGATACCTGGAGTTAAAATAGTAAATTAAAAACAAACAGGCTTTGACAGTCAAGTAAATATCCATTCCTCAAAAAGTATAATCTTTCCTCTGTCAAAGCAGTGGAAATAGAAAAAGTGCTTTTCTCCAAAATAGGCTGCTCACTAAAATTGCGGGTTGCTGTTTATCTAAAGGATTTCTAGCATCATCCTCTACAGCAGTTGATATAGCCATTTTCAAAAAAGGAGAGGCTCTTTCTCTGCCCCTGAATTACTAAATTACCATTCCTAAACTACCAGTCTTGAAAACATACATAAAACTCATTATTAATAAACAAAACTCAAGTCTCAAACCACAGCTAATTGGCATGAAATACCCATGTTACTGGCTTGCTTGGATGCAGCTGAGATGATTCCCCCAGCACTATTTTCCCACCAAGCTAAGTGAAACATGTGCTTAACAAACCAAACCATCGCACAACCACTTTCCTCAAGCAATCATTTTTTTTCCCTTCTAAAGATGAGATGAAGTGTGTAATTACTCATCAACATCCCTGCCTCAAAGCAAACTCGGAGACTGTTGCACTAATGATAGCCTCAAATTAGTGGCTGAGAAGAAGGTAATTAGAATCACGCTGCTGAGCGAAATGAGGAACAGATTGTGTGTTCAGGAGAGCATTTTGTAGGTACAGCTACGAATTAAGACCTCTGTGATGTCTGAGGAAACAGTGAGTCATTCTGTTGACTCTCAGGGAAGGTTCAATTTCAATATTGTCACTACAAGTTTGTGTCGGTGTTAGAGCAGAGGCAGCTCTTCTGTGCCCTTGGTGGTGCATGTTCCTAGAGACCTCGTGCAGCACATGCCAGGGAGCAGAATGCAAAGGTGGAGGTGTGAAATGAAGTATTTCCCCTTTACTCCAGCCCTTCTCAGCATCCCTTCTTCCCAGCAAGTGTATGCAGTAGTGCACCTTGGTCACTCCTGTGGAGCAGTCATTCCCCTGAGTCCTGTCAACCAGAGTTTGCAGCATGGAACAGGATGTGGGACCAGGTGCTTATGGGCAAAACAAGCCAAATTGCTTAATGCAGAAGGAATATGTTCCCTAGAAAAATATGCTAAGGTCAAGAAGCTCTTAGAAGCATCTGGAGAGCTCTATTTCTAAAGTGGCCTGAGCATGAAGGCTGACATGCAGCCTAAGCTCCAGGGGATGTTCTGGCTGAGGGAAGAGCTTCATGCTCCACCAAACCTCTAGAAACCCTCCCTCTTTCTCCACTCAGCATCTCATGAAAACTACTCCCCTGCTGTGGTGCTGCAATGAGGCCTTCCAAAAAGAAAAGACCACTGGGGCCTCTCCCACTTGTTTGTATGATGACAGCTTTATTCCCATTTTTGCACTCTAATTTCATTCTGGCGTGTTCCTATGGAAGCACAGATCAGCTCTTGCACTGCCTAATTTGCACACAAACCAAAAATTCTCATCTGAATGAGCCAGCAGCAGCACCAGCAACAAGGCTTTGCTTAGTTTTGATCCCAGAGAATGGCACTAAATGTGCAATGCAGGCTGGAGAAAAAACATGCCTCTTATGTTACTTCATGGTTTAAGCAATTCAGTGGCTTCTAGGTACCTAACCCTGCTTCCACGAAGGGGCTCAGGTAACTCATGCTGTAACACGTGACACTGTTATAGCTCATATCAAGGGCAGAATGTAGCAGCACAGGAAGCTAAAAACACATGATCTAAGGAAACATTCATGGTGTAAAATTTCTACTTACTAAATAAGTAAACTTGCATCTAATTCATTTCATTCTCTTAATGAATTTACAAGGTTGGTGTAAGCTTAACACCCAAGTGTCCATTTACAAATTGCCTTACTGAAACTTGTCTTGTTTCTGCCAGTTGGAATTGCAGACCTGTTTTGAAAGCAGCACTGCCTGCTCTGGGCTTTGATTTGCTAGGAATAAAAGAGAAGTGAGGAGGATTCCTACTGCAATAGGATTGACCCTACATTGCTTCAGGTCAGTGTTGCTCTATAGCTTCTGAAGCAAAGCATCTTGAGACTCTGACCTAAAAAACTGTTTCTTGTCCATGGCAGTACATACAAAGGCCTCTCAGTAGTTGTCTTAAATGCTAGGCCTTCAGCTTTTCTGAGTTGAGGAAAGTCAGAAGATAAGATGCTGGACTAGTCAGAAGTGCTTCTCAGGACTCCGTCCTACAAGATCACAACAAGCCAAGTACAAAACCACCCCAATGGTATACAAATACTTCACAGTTATGGACAGTTTGTTCCACACCAGGCCAGGATGAAATAAGATATCCTCACTGAAGTCGTTAACTTCAACAGCGGAAAAAATGGTCTAAGTGTCCAAGAGCGCACAGGAAATCTGTAACTGGACTTAGGAACTAACGGCAGCCCTTCAAGTCATGTACAGTGGGATCTAACTCCAGGCTCCTTAGGAGATGACTTCTGAGTGAACTATCACATAGCTGTCCACATACTGGTCCTTCTAAACTCTTGAATTTGATTCAGAATTAAAGCACTGGCATTTTTCAATGCTCTCCAGTACTATTTTCTTCTGATTTGCAAGAAAAAAAAATAATAAAATAAAAAAATATGCAGAAGGGACAATGGAGAGAGAAATAATTTCAAGTATTGGTTAAAGATTAGTCAGTGCATCTAGTGTATTCACAGAAAGGATTTTTTTTTTGCCTATATTTAGGCAACTCACAAGCTTCTCAGAAGACTCAACACATCAGCAAAACGTTCATAATATTTTAAATGCTATGAAAAGACAGACAGGCATATTTAAAATTACTAATAACAAAAATTCATAGAATTTGCCACAGAACAAAAATGCTCTATTATTAAGAGTAATAGATCAGATGTATTCTTCATGGAGGTCTTTTTATTCTTGACTGTCTTTGATCGGATGCTATTCTTGGCAGGTTTTCTGTTGGCTGCTACTGCTGAGTCCAAGTTGATAAGCATTTGCTTATCAGGAATATAGATATTTCTACTTGTACAGAGCCTGACATCTTGGCACAGCATGCCAAGATACAGGGGTATGTCTTTTGACATGGGTACGCAACCTTTCTCTTGCCAGGTTCTCAAACATTAGCAAGAAGTTGAACTGCATTTTTTTCCAGCACAAAATCAGTTATTTTGTTGACTGAATCCAGGCTCTCTCCTCAAGAGTTGGGAAGCAGCTGTAAGAGTTGGAGGTCAAAAAGGGTGTTTGCTCATTGCAGTAAGAGCATGCCATTAATAAGCTAATGCACTTAACATTTTTCAGATTTCTGTACTATTTTTCTTGTCATCTGATACATGTTGCTCATACTGTCCTGATTCCTAAAGTAATTTTTCCCCTCTAAACTCATGTCCGCATCTCTAAAGTCAAGTGGCAAACAGATGAAGACTCTTAGGCTGACAAACCAACTAGGTCATCGACCCTCTTCCAAGGGAATTAGCAGTCCAGTGTGAGCTGACCTTTTACTTCCCGTGCTCTCATCACACAGCTGGCTGGTTCAGCCATCTGAGGAAAACTGCCAGCCGTAGCCTTCCACTTGCTGCATTAGTTGCCAAACACTTGGTCTGCCAGCAAGAAGTTCCTTTGCCAAGCTCCAGTTGTGATGAGCTCTCTGGCACCAGTCCAAGCTGAAAATAGGTGCAGTTGGAATTGCAAGCCTCTTTCTTTGTATTTGTCCAGTGAGGGAGGAAATCAGGAGAGTAGGAAACGGGGATGAGTTTTACGCAGACATTGTTATAAGTCACAGGAGAACCTCAAAAAGACTAGAGGGAGAGTTTGACTCAGACAGGAAACCCCAAGAATCCAGATGCTTATCCAGAAGCCTTTGATCTATCAGAATGGAAAGTCTAGGTCAGGCTTTCATGACCTTCTTTCTTAAAATGTTTGGTGCTTTTTTTGTCCTGTTGGAGAGTCATTCATCTCCAGTACTTCTGTTTCTCAACAGAGTTTATGACTGAATGGTCGTTCAAATTGTGTGTCTTCTGAGGTTTCTTCTAATTTTGTAGCTAATTAATCTGTAATTTTTGCAAAGTTTGTTTGCAGTGTGTTTCCCAGGCTGAATGTATCAATAACAATAACAACAACTGAAAGAGAGAAAGAAAGAGAGAGAGAGAGAGAGAGAGAGAGAGAGACAGAGAGAGAGAGAGAGAGGAAGGAAGGAAGGAAGGAAGGAAGGAAGGAAGGAAGGAAGGAAGGAAGGAAGGAAGGAAGGAAGGAAGGAAGGAAGGAAGGAAGGAAGGAAGGAAGGAAGGAAGGAAGGAAGGAAAACAAAAAGGAAAAAAGGGACAGGAGGGTACAAGAGAAAGAGGAAGGGAGGGAGGGATTGTCTACATACTGCTACAGCTATTTAGAAGTTATGACAGATAAACACATATTGCAGGAAAAAAAGAAAAAAAGAAAAAGAAAAAAAAAAAAAGAAACTAATTCCTCTTATATCTCCATCTGAAATAGTCTTTCCATCACCAAACAGACATCAGTGCTTACCCAGCCAATGAAGTCAGTGGGATTTCGGATGCAATCTATCTCACATTGAAGTTCAGTAGTTCAGGTAAATTGAGCTGAAATTGCCTTTGCTATCAAGTAAGAAGGGGATGATGAATTCAGGAATAATTTCTACACTGCAAATATATAAATTTAGATAAAATAAGTTGTCCCTCTCTGCAGACATACATTGAAGGGATTATTATGATCTTCTGTATCATACTGCACCACAAACTATGTACGAGATGTCTAGGAAATGAGAGACTGGGTACAATACCATATCATATGATCCAATTGTGTGTGTGGTCAAGATACCAATAGATTTTACTATAAATCCAGATTTTTTTCCTAATGTCCAGCCTGAACTTTCCTTGGCATGGCTCTGTGCTGTTCCTGTGCATCCTGTCGTTGCTGACAAGGGAGAAGAGAACCAGACTTCAGGAAGCCCTCAGGAAGTTGTAGAGAGCAATGAGGTTTCCTCTCAGACTTCTTTTCTCCAGACTAGACAATCCAAGTGTTCTCAGCCTCTCCTTATGAGATTTGCCTCCCAAGCCATCACTTGCTGTTTTTTGAGAATTAAAATGAATTATTCCTATAAGTAATCCTGTGAAGGTTTTACCTGGCAATATGTATTCTTTATCAGAATTAAACGTCGTTTTCTCTGTGTTTTATCTAAAGAAACAACACAATAACAACTCTTCAAACTAACACACTCTTCAAAAAAGTACTGCAATTGAAAAAAAAATAATCTAAATTAGAAAGTAAAAAAGACCAGGCACCATCCAGATAGAAGCAGAGAAAGCTAAAAGACCTCAACAAAGGGTTTTGATTTAACTGCCAATAGCAGCAAAAACAAATGTCCATAAGATCATGCTTGTTTTTCTGGATATGTTTCCATGTATTAAGTCAAATTGTCATTAAGTGCCAATTGGCTGCCAAAGTTATTTCCAGAAGTTCAAGCTTCTCAGGGGCTCTACTGTAACATTTAAGTGCAAGGAGTTTGCCCACAGAGCCTCATCAAAGGAAGAAGGACTGGGCTGGATCTTAAACTGCTGCACTTAAAAGGTCCTTAAGAGGAAAATTATGCATGTGGAGGTGGTGGAATGTGTTGAAAAATTATCCCAGTGAGAGTGGGCTGATGACATCCAGGATTGGGATTAACAATGAGGTCCTGTTGTAATTTGGAAATGCCATACTTCAAGTAGCAGTGAAACTAAGAATGGCTTTTTTACAGCAGCTCTTTCCTGTGCGGATCCGATGCCTATAAAAGTTAATGTTATTCTTCTTTACATCAAGGGAATTATTAGCAAGGTTTCTCTACTCTGTCTGGGGATCTTTTGCTGCAAAATCTCTCTGGAATCTGTATCTTTAAGCCTGCATCTATCAAATTCAGTTGACAGAATCTATTGTTTTTAACTCATTGTTGAGGGGGAGGATGTGCAGGTAAGAGACATGGAAACATATAAACAGACACAATCAAACAGTGCAAGTGGATATATTTTCATAGGAAACTGGCAAAAATGTAAAAGTACTGTTGACAGGTAGTGTTCATCCTGTGAAAAAACATATAAAATAGCTGAGAAATATACAAAGTACTCTGTACAGAGACACAGCAGCAAGCAGGGAAGAAAATATGTGTTACCTTCATTAAAACAGAATTGCCTTTTGCTCTGGATCAGACAGTGCCATCTGATGTGCTCTCCACCATCCCACCACAAGGAGCACTTGTCACTGACTTGGGACTTTTTTCAGGTCTTGGTTCCCTCCATATCTCCATGAAAAATCAGATATTGAAGTGAGAAACCTGAGACAAGGTGCTGAGGAAATCTGGCATTTCCCTGTTTTTACCAGTAGTGGCCTGATTCCCCTCCAAAGCACATGGTTATGAATGTGAGGATTGGTGTTAGTCCCTGCTTTAGGGCAGTCAATCTGCCTTTTCTGCCTTCATTCTTGAAACCTCATTTTAGCCACAAAGCACCTTGCAAAAGCATGCTTAGACATCGTGACACTGTTAGCAGAGGGAGCAGCAGACAGCAAAATGATGCTACCTGTGAAACCAACCTAGAAGCCTGCACTGATCCTTGACCCTTCTGTGCAACTCTCTGCATTGAAAAATATGAGGATTTCACCCAGAGTGGGCTCAGGACTGGCCTACAAACTATGTGTAAATTATGTCCAGGTTGCACCTTTCATTATTAGCTGGCTCTTAGCAGTGCAAAGGAAATAAGCATTTTGTATGGCCATATTTTTGTGCCACATTGTAAGAAAACCTGACACTACAATGCAGGCTGCTGGCCATTGAACCTTAGTTTTCTCAGCACTCTGATTAACTATTGCTTATTTACCCATGGGACTGTGAGATTAGGAGAACTAGGCCATTTCTTAAGGCTTTAATTGTGGGTACTGACTGATTCTGAAGAATCAGAACAGCTAGACACAAGTTTGCACTGGAATTTAAACCTACTTAAAGCCGTAGAAGATTTAAGGGTTGTTTGTCTCCAGGAAGCCAGTGGGTGGAAGGAGTCATTTTTGGATGTAAAGGTTAAAGACTTACCTGCAAGACAAAAGACATTTTCTCCACTTGTCAGCATGCTGCTAACGATTGCACTGAGGCATTTGCAGGAGGATGGTGTTGTAGAGAAGACTGTAAACGAGAGGTGGAGAAAGGTTTTACAGTCAGAGCAAGATGTACAGGCTCCTCAGGGTAGGATATTTTAGAGATTTATCAAATGGAGATCTGACCTATGTGTACCAGCTTAGCCTGAGACACTCAGCAGTGAAATACAAGCCTCAGCCACTCTAAGGAATCACTTCACTGAATAACAGCCATTGCAGGCTATCATTTTTGTGCTCATAACCCACATTTTAAAAGCCTGATATGTTTGTGAATGCCAGCAGGAAGGCTGCTGGGTTGGTCTGCCAGTCCTGTCTAAGGGTGTAAAACCCCCTTCGCTGATGGGACAATCATAAGCAAAACAATTTCAAATGCTTCAAAAGATATTTTTTTTTTTTTTCCATAACCAATCTAAAACGGAAAAAGCCTCACTAAGAGATTGGATCAGATTCCTCACTCAGCTAAGGAAAAACAAGATGACATCCAAACCTCTTAAGTCTTTTCACACATGGAAGGCCAGGCAGCCAAAATTCTCCTTCATCATTTCCACATTCGGCTGTCTACACACTGAGCATTACAGAACAGCACTTTTTACATAACAAATATTCCTTCTCCAGAGAGGGAAAAAAAAAAAAGAGAGAGAGAGAGAGAAAAGAAAAGAAAGAAAGAAAAGAAAAGAAAGAAAGAAAAGAAAAGAAAAGAAAACGAAAAGAAAGAAAGAAAAGAAAAGAAAAGAAAAGAAAAGAAAAAAGAAAAGAAAAAGAAAGAAGAACAGAAAGAAAAGAAAAGAAAAGAAAAGAAAAGAAAGGAAGAAAGAAGAAAGAAAAGAAAAAGTAAAGAGACAGAAGATCACATACATCTGCCTGTATTTTCAACATTTCCTGTTACTTTCTTTTTTAGCTTCTTGGAAAATATTTTTTTATGAATAAGGGAAGTGATATTGTCTTCTGTTGACCAATTACCTGACCTAACCCCATATTCACACCACTTATTCCACAATTTTCAGTTATTTCATTTATATTGGCTAGCACATTTCAGAGTTCTGGGTGTCCTGGTATTATCCCAAATAATTTCATATTTGCATTTTGGTCATTCAAAACCTGCTCATTCTTCTACATCTACACTGATATTTTTGCAGCATTCACCATTTTGAATCGTTAGTAAAACCCTGGAGAGGATAGGAAGAGGATTAGCCTGATGTCAAATGCATTCATTTGTTATTCATATAGTCAAATTATTTTCTAAGGAATTGCTAAAATGTTTCATTCTTTGACAGCCTGATCAGAACTGCCATAGTGTGTCATTAACTATAGGCAGTGGAGTGAGTGGAAAAGGCTTTCTGCACAAGCATCTTATTGCAAGGAGACTGGACCATGTCCAAATCAGCAAGAATCCAATGTGGGTTTATAAAACTTGACAGCCTTGAATCTCCCACAGTGAAAAATCCTCACCACCAATTTGGGGAAAGTTTGGATCAGTTGAACAGAATATTGAACAGTGAGATGAAACCTTACTTACAGGGTGGATCTCTTCAGCATATAGAAGAGATACAGCATTTAGACATGTTTATACATCTCGCTGTAAACATATGCAGGCACATTTATCAGCAATGCAAAACCTGCAAAACTCAGCAACCAATTTCCAATTTAATGGCATTTTAAGGGTAAAAAAAAAATACTTGTAACACTGGCTAGGCTTAATATGATATTTAAATCTAAGAAGCTTCTGGAAAATTTGGCTCTGCTAGTAAAATGGGACTTCTTGTCCTTTTTTTAAAAAAAAATAATAAATAAAATAAAATAAAATAAAATAAAATAAAATAAAATAAAATAAATAAAATAAAATAAAATAAAAAATAAAATAAAATAAAATAAAATAAAATAAAATAAAATAAAATAAAATAAAATAAAATAAAATAAAATAAAATAAAAAGTTTACATTCTATCACTTTTACATGCTCTTTCCATAAGTCTAAATCTCTGCTCCTTTCTAAACCCAAAGAGATTGGTAAGCTTTGAAAAGTTCAGGGGTCCAGCTTAGACTGAAAATAGCACATTTAGAAAACTTTACAATATGTTTTGTTTCTAAGAAATCATCCAGATAAGCAGACAGCATGGATTTGGAAGAACAAGATGGTATTTGAAGCATAGAACAGCTAGCAGGTATCAGTCAGTTTCTGCTGCTGCTTCCATATCACTTTGCACTGTGTTCTTAATTATGCATTTTTTTTTAATTTATTTTGGTAGCTGCTATGAGTCTTGGCTATGTTTTGCTAAGCAAGAAAACCCAGAGAGTGCCTGGAATAGAAATAGAAATAAGTTAACTGTCATTTTTGGATTTGCTGTGCTACATCAAAATTAGCTCTCTGCAGAAATTTATCCATAGCAAATCAAAGTAACTTAATTGGAGTGCTAATGACTCTGAAATCACTGGCTTAAATAGCAGAGGAGCGTCTGGGTATATTTCAAGTGACAGACCAAACTACAGAAGTAACAACGTTAAATATGTGTTACAGAAAAGATCTTTGCCAGCATTTCTGAGAAAGATGGCAAAAAGTAGACTTCATACGCGGGGGTCAGTTTTTGATTAAGGAATGGTAGTGAAGATGTCTGGATACTGAAGATACTGGAGATGCACCAAGCTGCTGGGACATTCCATTGGGTGTGTAGACGTGACACCATTTGGGGCTGGAATACGAAGGACAGGTGAAAAAACCTGGGGCAGCAAGTGGCACTAGACACTGGTATTTAAGCAAATGAATCCTGACCTTGATGATATCCCATCCATTAAATCTACCACTCTGTTCACTTATGCTGAGGAGCAGGCCTATGTCTGTTACTGTATTATACTGAAAATTAGCTGTACTGGCTGATGGATTTCAGTGGATCACTATTTGTGTCAAGAGAAACCTCAGTGATAGCTGAACTGTTTCTAGACTTTAACTACAACTAATAAGCATTCACCAGCTTAATAGTTTAATTCATTAGATGGAAACAAGGATGAAAGGCACAAAAGAATTTGCAGCTTGGAAAAAAAAAATATCCGTGACTTCCTTTTTTCTTTTTGTTGGAGCCATCACATTTCTGTCACTGGGTTTTCTGCATGAGCCTTGATGATGGGATGAATTTTGAAAATGTGAACACCCAAAGAGCACCAGCTCTAAGTGAGCACAGGGGCATAGGAGGGAAGGGAGCCTGAACCTGCAATTAAGAACAGTGCCCAATTTTGTGCAGCCTCTTTCTGGAAGTACCTGATTGACAGGTCAAAAGCCTTTCCTGTAGAACACATCAGCTTTGCTGAAAATAGTCTGATTTTTGTGAAATAAATGACTTCATTGACAGGTCTCTTGCCTTGCAGGGGGAAGAGTGCAACAGAAAAATAAATAAATAAATAAATAAAAATTGAAATTATCCTGAAGACGAGGAAAAATCCATCCCTTTCTAACATGTCATATATCTACCTAATTATTTCTATCTCAGCTTTCAAGTGTCTGACTCCTGTTGCTCACAATCAACACAGGAAGGAAGGCATTGCTCTCAATGGGAGCAGAAGGGAAAAATCTTCTAAAATCTGTTGAAATGCTAGGTTTATGTCTATCACTCCTGTTTTTTTCAGCTTGTCCAGAGAAGTGTCTTTGTAAAGCAAAAGTAAAGGTAATCCCTGAGGCCCTGAAATAACTTGAAAAACCCAGTCTTTTTTTTTTGAACACCAAGCTCTTAGAAATGATCCATCCGTGAAAATCTAAGAACAGCATTTCCGTTCTTACCCTTGGAGTGCATTCCAACAAAGCGTATTTTTGTAGTGAACATTCAATTTTTACAGTCTCACCAATTATGATGAGATTTAAAACCCTGTCTTCTGGACTCAAGTGTCTGAAAAAGAAACTCAGACTCAGTTTTCAATGCAGAGAACTGTACAGAACTAAATGAACATCTCAGCTTCTAACTCTGGTTTTATTAAGAAAACTAAATGTTTTCTTGGAGCTGAACTTAATTTTTATGTGTAATTGTTGCTGCTTGACAATATAGCTTCCTTGAAACTCAAAATCTAGAAGCTGAAATAAAAGTATAAATAGCAATATGTAGTCACCATAAAAACAAACAGAACCCTACCCGCTCTTATTTTATTTTTTTTTTACACACAATTTTCTGATTCCTAAAGTTGATGTATAACACTATTGTGAGAACTTAAGATAATGAGTCTCTGTTATAAAGTGGGACACTTATATACTACAGTGCTAATACTATTCAAAATAATAACTTTGAAAGCCACAAGCAATGGAAATGACTGCATGACATTTAAAAAACTCCAAGGTAAACAGATTTTTCACTTGGATCTGTTAACCTTCTCGGTTTAAACTACATAGAGCTGTGCTTCAACCTGACAAACACAGCAGTGAGACCAAGAAGAACTGGGCTCCAAAACAGACAGGAAACTTAAAAATGCAGCTTTCATCTGGGACCTTTGTTCTGAACAAATGTAAGTGTTGCAAGGGCACAATGCTCTCCAAAAAATAAAATAAAATAATAATAATAATATTAAAAGGTCATAATATTTCACATCTAACATCCCATTCTTCTCCCTCCCCAAATCCAGGAAGTTGTGTGCACGCTGCAGTCTCCACATATCCAACATTTAATGATACACATCTTTCTTTATTAGCCAGTTAATATTAATTAAGTACTTCAATTATCAAAAGTCTGATGTTCCCTTTACAGCCATGGTAGGAAACAAGCAAAAAGTATCTGGTCACACATGTTTTGCAGTACAGTTTCTTGACGTGGAATGAGCCAATGTCTCAGGTATTCTCAGATGGGTAGGATACACCTCCCTCCTCCTATCTACCCCCAACACCCACCCACACTTTTGGCCACACATTCATGCCTCTCACCTCATGCCAGACTGGCCTTCAGCAGATTCCTCTGTTAGTCAGATAAACACACAGAGAAATGTCAGAAAATTAGGCAGCAGTGGAGGAGAAAGGTAATTAATGTGTCTTTTTAGTGATTAAATCAGCTCAGTGGAAAGTTGAATGAAGCAGCAAGGATGGAGACGACTCTCTAGCTGTCATGGCACTGACGTGGTAGGGGTACATAACTCAGTGGATGGTTTTATGATGTTGACTAGATGATGATGGTTTTATGGTGTTGACTGTTGACTAGATGATGACTTACGATTTAGACAGTCCTAAAGGATCACAGCAGTGAGCGTTGAGCAAGTCCATAGCTGCAAGGTCCAAAGTCATGCTAGGAAGTCAACTCAGCAAGCCAGAGTCTGGATCAACAGTGTGCATGACCAGACACACACATGCCTACAATTTTGGCTGGGGTCACAGGTAATTTGGGATCTTGTGGATGAAGATGGAATCATAATGGAAGAAGATTATTTTCTCTGCTGTTTCCTGATTTGCAAAAGTTTTGTGTTCCAGTCACATGAACATGGTGATATGGTCATGAGTAAAATGCTTGGCACCAAAATAAAGGATTGGTTTCTCAGTGTTCTCATCTTTCCTTGCGGGCACTTTTAAAATTTTTCTTCTTATCACTTTACGGAAATGTACAATTTCTTCAGACTAATGCGATAGGGCTCTAGCATCTCCTATTAATACTTCAGAAGCATTTTCTAAGGAAAGAAAAGATTAGACCAAATGGCAATGACAGGAGAGTGAAGGAGAAAGAGGGATCTTGCATTCAAGCAGAAAAGGAAATTATCATCCTCCGAAAAAATGCCGAGCAACGAGTAAAAATCATGAATAAGCAAGGACAGAAAGGAACATTTCACATGTCCGTCAGGACAGCTGCCAGACTGTAGTGCTGTGTTGTGTGTGTGTTTTCACACCCTGAATACAAGAATGTGCTGAATAAACCCCGTTCTCTGGAAGCTGGTGCGATTTGCACCCCTTGGTTCTCAGGAAGGATCTGTCCTGGTATTGGCAGAGCAGGGGAGTGAACTAAGGTCCCTGGTATGTCAGCCCCACCTGTTGGACTGACCACCCACAAAAGCTGCCAAAGCCTTACCAGAAGGGTGACTAATCCATGCTGGAAACACCGGAGAACTTTCCAGGCTGTGCTGTTTTTGTAGTTGCAGAATGACAGTTGGTATTGTGTATGTTTGCTGGTTGGGATGAAGCTTCTTGGAGAGCCTAAGAAATAGAGGCATGGATCGTCACATCAGCTTAAAGTTGGCTCTGACTTTTTCCCACAGATTTAGAGTAGAGCAACTGCTTAACTCTTTTCTGTCAATCCTTCTGCAACACCAGATAGTGTCATGTGAGGTCACAGAAGAGCAAGGTGTGTAGGAAAATCCAAAAATCATTCCAAAGGAGTCTTCGTGTGAGGGTACCAGCAGGGAACATGCCATGCCACACTCAGAGCTCCTCTGTCATTGTGCATGCAGGATCAGCCCTACCAGCTCCACACAATAAAGAGGGCTTGTGGGCTTAGTGGTTGTTTAAACTATTTTTAAGTCACACAGGCAAAATAACATTTTTAATCCTCATCTCACCAGGGTCTTAAGAAGGATCTATATTGCTCGATTTTTCAGGACATCTGTGGATCCTGGATTTCTTGCCTTCTGTCCCTGTTCTTTTCAGCTTGTTCTCCTGAGTACTGATTTTAAGTTTTCTGTCTGAGGTACTGAGGCTTAAAAAAGAGCATACAGGTGCAACTGAAAGGCCTCTGCTAAACTATAGAGAGGAACCAGTGTCCACAAGCTTAAATTCAGGAAGGGGATTTGAAGACCAAAGGCCATGACACTGGAATGAGGGAAAGCAAAGAACTGATATTCTTCCTATTTTATGGCTTCAGCGAAATAATACTAATTTTCTGTCTTGATTTTATTTATTTATTTATTTTTTAACCTATCTTCCTTTAATATCTTTAGAGTAAAAGCTTCATCTATGAACAAGACCTCCAGGCACTCTTGGAAGTGTGTTCTGTAAATGATGGCATGATGAAAATGTTGGCATTGAACAGAAATCAGTCTAGGTCCCAAAGAGCACTTTTTCAATTCCGCCTCTGCTAAAAACTTAAGATGTGCTTTCGGTGAAGTTCTCCAGGCTCATTCTGCTTCTGCTGCTCTTTACATTATGGTATGGAGGCAAAGATAGAAGATTAGTCAATGTCAAGACATTGAGGAAGGCTCAGAGACAGTCAGAAGAAAGTCTTTGACAAGTACACTGGAAAAAAAGGAAACTTTCTCAGCTGGATTAAATTGTCACAGGCCATCTGACATCCAACCAATCTTTTTTTTTTGTTGTTGTTTTCAATTGAGTCACTTAAATATCATTAAGACCTTAATAACCACATAAATGATGGCATCACGAGCTGTTTAAGAGGATATGCTCTTCTTTTGATATCTCCTGTAGTTATGTGCCCGCGAGCATCTCTGCAGTTGGCCTGTCGTTGTAACACACGTTCAGAGAAAGCTATCAAACACAGACCACGAATATCCTAGGGGGAAGTCGAACTAGACAGAGATAAAAATCAATGCATATTCTTCCAAATTAAACTCATCGTTATTACTTATTTTAGAGTTGCATTCCTGCTCTCATCTCTCATAATTCACATAAACTCCAAAATACTCTTGGATTTTCCCTATCTCAGACATTACAAAATGTGGTTTCCTGCAGATTCTTTTGGCACACAGTGATTTATTTACTCCATGCTGGCTTTAGACATGTCTTCCCTATCACCAGCCGTTTTGCCACTATTGTATACTGCATTACAAAGTTTCAGATAAGCCCCAGAAAACAGGTTGTGTACATCTTCCTCATCTGTAGCAAGCAAAAAGCAAGTTATATTATTGTAAATGCTTCAGGTTTAGTCTAAAGTTTGAAAGAACATGCCAGTGACTTACTTCTTGTGAGAAAATTACTATGTGGAAGATTCTCAATCATATATAAAGCTTTTGAGCATGCATCCTTACTTATTTGGAGGATGTAACGCTGGGAGGGAAACACTGAGATGACAAAAGACTAGTCTAAGTGTCTGGAAATGTGGGTCCTTGCTATTGTTCCTTTAATCACAGCTTATAAAGTTTGAGCGAGTCTCTTCATCCCTTTTCCCCCGACGGCTTTCATGCAGAAATAAGGACAATGATATTCATTCATGCATTGTTGTGAAACGTCAGAAGACCTCGGAGCTGAACTAATTGGGTTGCTGTCTCAGGGAGACCACAAATACAACGGTCTCCTCCTAATCCAGAATGGAAGATACACTCCTTAATCATTCACTAGCAAATAAAACAGAGCCTTTGTGCTCTGATTTTGTGAATTTGTAGAGATGCCTTGCTCAAGAGGGTAGCAGGATCCAGGGACAATTCCCACAGAACAGCTTGGATGGGCCATTTTCTTTTCAGGAAGGAGGAGAGGGGAAGAGTTCCTGTGTGGGAACATGAATCATCATGTGTACCTTTGCCTCGGAGCCAGAAAGCAGGGCCTGACATGCTTTATTTACCACATAATGAAGTGGCAAAGGGAAGGAGAGGGGGTCAAGCATGGGAACTAAATACCAAGGCCTTGTGTTAAAATGTCAGCATGACTGCATACTGCTTTGTTCCCTATGACCTTGGGCAGCACCTTTTGCCTCTGTTTCTCCTTCTACACTTTGTCAATCCTGTGTCTTGACTGCCTCAGGGAAGGAAAGCTTGACATTTAGCAGCCAAGCCCAGGAGTCCTGCCTCTGCGGCCGTCCCAGTCATACCTTTTCTACCAGGATGGTTTTGCAGAGGTGCACAGGGAGGGAAAACCCTCTGGCCCTGGGTACTGTTGCCCCAGTCTCATTTTTGACTTCACAGGATTTTCTTCTCACCCCATGCACTGACACCTCTCCCATGCTGTGCACATCACCCTGCTCCCCACACACCCCAAAAAGTTATTTGCCAGGTAGGTTGTTCTTTGCTTTGGCTGCAAACACCATCTCTTTCTCCCCAGTGGCATATCCCATCACCTCCTCTAGAAAGAGGAAGGCTTCTTCTTATTAGGGAATATTGCAAACACACACAAAGCTGTAGGAAGAAAATATTTGGGGATGACATCCTCCACCCTTCCTCTTGGGAAGATACACCCCCTCTTTCCAGGAACCAGGAGTCATAGCAGCAGCAGAAGTTGACAGAGAAGAAAAATATTTCCCACCATCCAGGACCCACTCTTCATCCCATCTTCCTCTCCGTCACTGCAGCTCCTGGTATGTTCCTAGACTTTTAGCTTCCAGCAAGAATAAACTCTGCATCCATCCAGTCGAAGCGGATATGGAGTCAATTCCAAAGGGTTCTCCAGTTTCTATTTATAAATCAGCCAGTGTATTATTATTATTTCTGGGGTTGAAAAAACATAAGAAAATATGCCCTATTTGTGTAGCTCTGCTCTCCTGGAACATTTTGGGTGTCGTTTGCAAATCCGTTCACAACCAGCAGACCAAGCCTCCTGTGGCTGCAGCAGAAAGAAGAGGCAAACTCAATTAGAAGTCAAGTCATGATAAATTTTCTGTTGCCATTGGCTAACAGTCTTGGATGGGAGAGCCAGCCAGCTCCGGTGCCAAGAGGAAATCTGACACAGATGACAGTCTGACTTCCAGTACCTAGCAAAAAAAAGGGCCAGCCAGCTCTGTGTGTGTGTGCGCATGTTTTCTTTCTTCTCTCTTTTTTTTTTTTTTTCCTTCAAGAACCTTTATATGTTTCGAGTGTGGAATCCAAGCCCTAATGTGTTCTCACTTCTGTGCAAAGGAACAAAACAGAGCCCTATCGTCTGCTGCTGGCAGGGCTCAAGGAGAAACACTTCAGACGCTCTGCTGTAACCAGGAGCCCCTTGTCCACCATCCCAGACTCCCCTTCTTCTATTTTTTTTCATGAAGTGACCTGAGAAGAACTCGCCTGGTGATGCTATTTTCCCCCTTCCTGAGCATGTGGCAGATTTACAGTGGCTCGAGTTAGACCGGGACACGGTGCCTGGCGACTGCTCCCAGCAGTGCCGCGCTCCCGAATAAATGCATGGCCCTAGCTGGACGCCGTATTCCAGTAGCCGTCTGGTTGTGTCAAGCCATAAGTCATTTCCCGTCATCAAAGGCCATCTGTGTTCAAAGCTGCCTCAAGTCACAGACTCCAGGGTCCAAGCCCCAGAATATGGGGCCAAGTTTCAATCCTTGTCCTGCTTGAGTAACCCCAAACCTGGTGAAAAGACAAGTCCGTGGAATAAGGATCAACTTGCTGGAAGTGATGAGGAAAGAGTTTAACTGGAAGTATTTCTTCATTATTTCACTCAGATATCTATGGCTCCTATTCAGAACTGTGATTGCCTCATGCCAAATGCAGTACGAATATATAAACATAGGTCCTATAAAACTTTATATATATATATATATATGTATGTAAATACATAAAGCTAACATATACAGACATACGCATAGTTAGATACAGATCCTGAACTGATATTCTTTCCTTGGGAGCTTAGCCTAGAAAAGGTTGAAATGGATAGGGAGGGTTAGTTCTATTCTAGCTAAAACACTTCTGGGCAGAAGAATGCAGTTCCACCAAATCAAAATGTCATGAAGAAGATGGTAAAAATAATGAATGCCCACTAAGGTAATCATATTGGAATACTCTTGTTTTGCTGGTATCTGGTGTGAGGTGCTTTGTTTCCAATCAGATCAACAGCATTGTCCTATCAATGCATTGATTTATGGGAGTTGTAGTTCAAAATCTCATTCAGTCTTGTGGAATTAATTGCCTGGAAGACTGCTCACCATGTGTTTACTATAAGGCATGCATTCTTTTGACAAAGTTTTACTTGGTGCATGACAAAAGATGTAATCTGACCATAGAGCTTTTTTCCTGCAAAGGGAAAAAGATTTAAACCACTTTGGATACTATTGCTGTAACACCACATCAGAGAAACACAACTTAATGATGAAAAAGCCTAAAACAAAGGTTCATTTCAACAAGTAAAACTAAAACATTTCAATTTGGGGAAGGCTAAAATATTTCTCTTCAACTGAATTGTTGAGAAAAAAGAGCCATGTATTTTTCATTGAAATTTCTCATAATTTCTGTGACAGAAAAAAAAAAAAATGACAAAAGCTTAATCTCTTGTCCTAATAGTGTCTCAAAGCAAATAGTGAATGGAAATTTCTAAATCTCAATTTGAGAACTCACTAAATTAGAAGCATACTTTCATGTAAAATAATTCAAATACTTGAATGGCTTCATCACTGAGGATTCACACCCTTAGCACTGAACAATAGAAATATCATTTTTTGTTGCCTATTTCAACAGGAAAGATGCTGTCTCCTTGTGAAAAGATGATGACCATCAAGCACCCTATGAAATTATTGTGGATCATGCTGTTTACAATAATGCTGTTTACAACTGGGAATGCAGCTGGAAAATTTGTTTGGTTTCTTTT